TGATCACTTTGTCCTCTAAATTAGTGTGTTGTTTTTCTTTAATTTACAATACATAAGTAAATAACAGATACTGCTGCTGTCAAAAGTTTGTGAAAAAATCAGAACTTAGATGGCTAAATCCAGTTTCAAAAAGTATATAAAATCTTTTAGATGCAGCAAATTCAAGTTTTTTGTGTTAAAAAATGTTCGTGTTACATTTGTTGTATTTTTTATTAAAAAAAAAATCTCACTTCTCCTGGTTCATTAAATAATAATTGAATTAAAATCAGCTAACTTTGTTCATTAAACAAAATAAAACTAGCCTTACATTTAGTAATTTTTAAATGTTTTTTAATATCAAATTTCTCAGCCTGAAAACACTTTTTAGTTGCTGTTTTTAAAAAAAATTGAGACTTACTGTCCAACTCGCTGATTGATTATCTTTTTACTAACAGCACTGAATCCCACTTTTCTGTTGCTCTCTTTTTGTTGCCTTCCCTCCCTCCCCTTTTTGCCGGCTCCTTAGCATGATCAAGTAGCTAAGCTAAGTGATGAGCGGATCACAACTCCCAAAAAACGAAAAGCACCTCCACCTCCTATTAGCCCACTGCAGGTAAACGCATGTCTGTCTGCTTATTTCATTGTGCCACTCTGTATTAATATGAACGCATGCAGAAAGTATATTTTTAAGTAAAATTAACATTATAGTGACAGTTTGAGGGTGTTTAGGTTCCATCTAATGGTTTGTCTGGTGTTTATTTTTCCCATTCATTCATTTAGYTTGTGTGCAAATTTAAAATCCGTTATATCAAATGTTTTCTGTACCAACAGCAAATAAATCTAAAACAAAAGAGTGTTTTTAAACACTGCTAGTAGCTTGCATTCAAAGCTAAAGAATGACTTTGTCTTTGAAGAGACTCCGTAGGAAAGACATTAATCCAAAAACTCCTCCTTTAGAGTTCTGGACCCTCGTCTCCTTCTGTTCTTACACCTTCCAGCACTCCTGCGTCCTACAAAGGGGACACTCCCAGGAGGTTCATCTACAAGGTAAAACAAACATATCAGGATTATAAACAAATAAATTAACTTAAAGGCACCATCGACATTACCTTTGTTTTTGTTTTTTATCCCCCTTTTGGATTTGTAGCAGAATGCCAGTTATCAGCTTGTTAAATCTTGCCTTCAGCCGCAAACGGATTTCCCCTCTTGTCTGTTTTCCCTCTTTCCTGCCAACCTTCACTCGTGTCTCCTCCCCTCGTTTAAAAGGAAGATGACTTCATAGGAGCAGCGCTGAAAGAAGAGGTGGAGAAGCTCCATGAGGAAAGAAACATGTTGCTGGAGACGATCGAAGACTTGAAGCAGACGGTGGAGATTGTGACTGGTCCTGAGCTGGAGGTTAAGGTAATAATGACTGATACTTCACAACGAGGCGACTCCTTTATTTTGTTGTTGTTKTTTTTTTTGCATGTGTGCAGATTTGAAACTAGGTTGTGCCAACAAAACAAAAGAAGCACAACAAATTTGGTGACGTCATATTCATAAACGGTTAAAGAACTGGTTGTTTCAACTAAACTAAACCTAAATATCTGTGATTCTTTAGTGGTTTTTAACTGGATAATTTGTTGTAGTTGATTGACAGCTTGTAAGAAAACGTCAAAAAAGCATTCAGAGTCTGGAAATAAAACATTCATTAAAAATAACATTTACATAGTTATTTGTAAATCATTTCTCTTTATTTTAAAGTTTTRTCCTTCAGTCTCAAAACCCTCAGCATTCTTAAAGGTCTAACCTGTGCTTACAGCGTGTCACGACTTGTATAGCCAGTGGTCCTTAATGCTGCCTTTATGTTACCCTGTGGCGTGTGAATGTATGCGTGTGTGTCTGTTGGCAGGTCGAGCAAACGGCGTCTGCAGCTCTGGTTTCTGCTCTACAGTCCAAGATTAATGCTCTTACTTTAGAAAACCAGGAACTGGCAAACAAGCTCAAGGTGAGTTTGAGCTGTTTTGTTCTGTTCGAGGGTTAACAGTTTAACAAAGCTGTGCCAAATAACTTGTGAGATGAAACCAGATAGTTTTTAATCATGTTGGAGACAAAAGAATAACAACTGCACCAAAATGGTACAAACTGAAATCTGTCAGATAAAACCTAAACTAGGCTAAAGCATTTTTTTATTCCAAATAACAATTTCATGACATGAAGTTGTTACTGATCAAATCTAAAGCAAATATTCTGAAATCTGTTAAGATTTGTTTTGTTCAACGTGGACTCATAAACTCCTTTTTCACCCAGAAACATCCGACCCAACAAGGAAATGAGCTGAACGAGACCAGTCGACCAAACAGCGTGGCCTCCAACGCCTCCTTCCACTCCACTCAGGATGACTTTGAGGCAGCGCCACAAGCACCCCCTTCGACCACAGCGGAAGGAGGAGACCATCCAGGAGCCATTTCTGCTCAGCTGCAGGAGGAGCAGAGCGAAGGAGGGAGCCACGAGGAGATCGGGCTGTTGAAACAAGCGCTGGAGAGCGTTCAGGTGAAACTGCTGGAAACCAGGAAGGAAAACCGGTTGCTTCAGGCTCAGCTGAAACCCGAGCGAGGCAGAGAAAGAGACGAGGATGGCAGTGAAAGAGAGAAGAGGAGGGAGGAAGAGCTGATGGAAAGTTTAGCGGAGCTGCAGGCGAAGCTGACAGACACCCAGGAGAGATACCATCAGGCTCTGGAGGAGGCAGAGGATCTGAAAGCGCGGGCGGGCCGAGGAGAGGGTGAACCGACGGAGAAACAGGACGTCCAGAAACGGTTGTTTTCAGCACTTGAACAGGAAGTGAAACAGCAGAAGGTTCAGCTGGAGCAGCTGAAGTCGGAGAGAGATGARGCAGCTCAGCGAGTCAGACAGCTGGATGAGATGCTGAAGAGGACGGAGGAGGAGAGACAGATGGAGCAGCAGAGAGAGCAGAAGGTGGCACAGCTTGAAGAAATGTACATGGAGGCTCAAGAGGAGATCAGGATTCTCCAGGTGAAAATATTCTTCTTCTCTGTTAGCATTTTAAATGAGATATTCTTTTAACTCACATAATGTGCTACTCTCTGCTGTTTAGGAGGCTCTGAAGGGCACGGTGCCAGTCGAAGCTGCAGCCAAAGACTTTGAAGAGATGAAGGCCGAGTTAAATGGGGTCATAGCCGGGCAGCAGCAGCGTTTGTTGGAGCTGTCACACTCCTACAGCGAAACCAAGAGTCAGCTGAGCGCCACTCAGAACCAGCTCGCAGAGGCCAAAGCTGAGAGCAGCGCCGATTCACCGTCGCCGTCTTCAGAGAAACGAGYCGCGGCGCTGAAGAGCAGGGTGGAGGAGCTGCAGGCCTCGCTCGCTGAGACCGACTGCAAGCTCCTGGCTGCCCAGGAGGACGTGAAACGGCTGAAGCAGGAGGCAGACATTCAAACGCAGAGCTCCGTGACCCTCACCGACCACACGCAGGTCGTGTCCTCTCTGGGAAACGCCATCAAGGAGCTGGAAAGTGAGTTGGATGCTGTGAGACAGCAGCTGCACCAGAAGACWATGCAAGTTGAAGCTCTGCAGCAAAGGTGAGGAGAAAAAGGATCGTAACCTTGTAGTGGTTTAAGAAAACAATGAATGGGGTCCATGCATTTGTGTTTGACTCATGTTCAAAGAAAAGTTGTAGTGTTGTGTTTCACTGACTCACATGAGATCTGTGTGCAGATTACCCTATTCTTCTTGTCTCTCTCTGATAAAAGCCTCACGTCCGAGAAAGATGTTACCCCAGATGACTCGGTCTCTCATCTGGAGCATGAGAACATGCGGGAACAGCTGGAGCACGAGGTGAAGCATCTGACGCAGCTCCTTCAGGGCGCTCTGAGGAAGGAGGACGAGATGGCTCTGGAGGCAGCAGACGCCTGGCAAAAGGTGGGAGGAAGAAGTCAAACAAACAAAAACAAATTCACAGATGTTAGAGTGCGCGTCCTCTCGCTCGTCCCTTAGGCACGAGATAATCGCGCGGAGCGGGAAGCCCTGCAGGAGCTGCTGGTGACGAGGGAGAAGGAGAACCAGATGCTGACCTCCAAACTGGCCGAGTCCCAGGATGCCGTGTGTCAGCTCAAACAGCTGGTGGAGAATCACGTTGCCTCAGAGAGAGAGAAAAACAAGAGGGTCAGTGTGATCTCCGTCATCATTAACATGCTTTTTAAAAACATATTAGTTGATTTGATCAWTTCAATATAGTTACAGACGGTGTCCAAATTCAGAGGCTTTGTCCTTCAAAGGACCCGGTCTACAGCCCTTGAATTTGGACACAGCCATCATCTGTTAAAAAAAATCTGTAAAATCAGAACTCTAGCTTTCCACTTGCTTTATGTTCGGTTAAATGTTTAATATATTATTAACCCTTTTTGCCTCTCAGATAGAYGACTTGTCTCGGGAAGTTGGAAAACTAAAGGACGCCTTAAACAGCCTATCACAGCTCTCCTACAGCTCCTGTTCCCCCTCAAAGAGACAGCAGCAGAACCAGCAGCTGGAGACTCTGCAGCAGCAAATCAAACAGCTTCAGTACCAACTAGCTGTAAGATTATTTAGACTTAGCAAACAATAAATGCCATTTTAAGTCACAAGATTCTGTTATCAGCTTTAATGTTGTTGCTTTTCATTTGCTTTTGTGATGACAGGAAATAATTTGTGTTGTCTTTGTAGGAATCAGAGAAGCAGCACCAAGAGACGGTGTCGGTGTACAGGATGCACCTTCTCTATGCTGTTCAGGTAAATCCTTTTTCTTTTGTTCACTACATTTTATATTTTAGTGCAAACTGGATGAATAAATAAATTATTTTTTACTACGTGATTAAACATATTTATAGTGCGACTATGATGATGAATAGAGGCTGCAGCTATATTTATTATTATTAACATAAATCAAGTAAAAATAATTTAGGTAAAATTTTAGCACAATATTCTGGAATTGTATTATTTGCTTTGCAGTTTAAAGAACATATTTTCATGTGCAGGTTCCTTTACAATCTCTTAGAACTGAATTTAGAAATTAGAATAGGATTATTTTTTTAATCCCAGACCTACAATGCAATACATATGCATATGTGTTTATGTATATGTGTATATGTACATTACTATATATCATGTGTATATTGTGGGGTTGTTTTTATTTGTTATCTTCTTTTATTTATCTTTCATTATTCTTCTCAGCCTCTCCTGTATTA